TCGCTTCAAAAAACACCAGAAAGTTAGATCTGTCGACGGGAAATGCTGCCGGTTCCTCGCGCTGCTCCCTGTCTAAAATATAACAGCCTTTTACTTACTGACGTAAACACAGAAAACGTGCTGATTGCGCGTCAGATGGCTTGTTGATTTCACAAAGCTGAATGAATTTAACCGAATCGATACGTTATAGCAACACCTGCTTGAACTGGATTGCTGAATTATTGAATCAGACCGCAAAACAATAACCTTTATAATTCAACCACTAGACGCACGATATGAGTCGACAAACTAGTTAACATACCACCTACTCAGGCCTTCTGCAACAAGCGGGAAGTGACCTGTACTCAACAGCCTCTTGCGAAACCTATAACAGTCTTACCCTGAAGAGGTTCTGAGACACAGAGAACCAAGACGCTGACGTTGTCAAGTTTCACTTCGCACTGACTATACAATCCACATTCTGCTGCATTTACAGTACGACAGCGAATACAGAAACAAAATATTCGATCTTCACACGTTAACAGTTAGGGAAGAATTTCATTTAAACCCAGAATAAGGGGCAGCACCGAGATAATACAACCAGCCATAGAACGCAAAGTCGATAAACCTCTTCGTCACATATGTATTCCAATACCGGGCTACGACAGACACAAGGTTCTTTGCAAATTTTGTACACAAAACTAAAGCAAGTTTCTGTTTTATGCTCATTATTGTACCTTATGCTTCCGAGACGCTTAACGTCTGGTTCCGAGACCTCCTCTAATTCACGGCCATGATGTTTATATTTTCTGAAGCCATTCGCGCATCCTTCAACCAACGATTCAGTGTTGCCCGTTTCATCTCTCACAATGATAACAAGGATTGTATGTACGGAATTTTTTTCAAAAAATCACTTACAGAAGGTTCTTATTTTAAATATCTGACAGAATAAACAGGTTTTCAAAATGTAACAAAGTTGTGATAACAGGTTGAAAATGGCATTAATTAGAGTTTTCCTGCACTGAATATTTGGCAGGATCACGACTTGGAATTCACCCAGAACAACCTACTCATTGACGAAAGGCGATTATGAATACTAAAGTTCCTGACACTTCTGTCAATGCAGCTCACATGGAATGGCGGCTCTGATGAACGAAAGATTGATCCACTACCCAACAGTATGCTTCAGCAACAACAGGGAAGTTTGTACTATGAATTTTCAACAACTGATGCCGCATGAACTGTTTTCGTTCATGACGCGTTAAGCAGCTGATGTTATATGGTCATTAAATAAACAGTGGAGAAACGCTAACAACTGACCTCGAACCCTCGCTTCAACTGCGGTTGCTGACTGCAGATGATTATCGTGCCAGCGGCAGTAGCAGTTGCGCTTATGGATCAAAATTCCGTCACCCCCTCCAGGTCAACAAAAGCGAAACAATGCGAAACGCCCACCTACCGGAAAAATAACGCCTGTTTGGCCAGTACACTCGCTCCTTGCAGCTTTTTCAATAACATTTCTGAAAAGACCCCAGCAAAGAACATCTGCACTGACTGATTAGTTCATCTGATATTTCACTGAAATAACATTTAATAAGTCCTGCTGTAATCCTAAAATAAAAGATCTACCGGCAAAACGGCAAAGAAGAAAGCGGTGAAAAACGCAACGTTGCTTCGTTGGTTGTGTTGACGAGAGGCGGTGTTTCGAATTCTTTAGGCAGCATGTCGCCCACAACGCGCGCGTCGGGGATTACTTTTAGATGCCTGCAGTCATTTGCTATAGTTTATAAATCTGAAAAACCGGCTGCTGTAATCTGTCTTGCTGCAAGAAGACACTGAAAGGTTGCAGTCCTTTAACTCAAATGCCAACAACCGCTTGTGCTACTCAAGATGACAGATTTCATCGGCAACGCCGAAATGAGCAATTTGCTGGTTCGTCACTTACAGAAACCTACATTTCTGCTAAAACCTTCATCGAACACTTGCCCGGAGGACTGCCGGCAAACACTGAATTAACTCTGCTTGCAGAAGCAACGGAAAACAAGCCGCCACACTTGGCGACATAGCCGCATGAGAAAACCGGGTACAGCGCTGCAGAGAACACATTCTGTACTCACCAACCATTCTATTCCTCAGTATCGCTAAACAAATCTTGATTTCCATGCATTTATGGCATGAATTTAAAAGGGCTACTCCATGAGAAAAAATCTGACCAGCAAAAGCATAAGGTTTAGCTGGAAAGCTACGTCTCACCTAATGACCTTTGCAGCAGTCAGGAACGTCTAAAACATAAGTAAACGGCTATTCAAACAGGTTCATCATCAATAATCAGGGCAATTCTGCTATTCAAGCTGCTTTAAATCAATATAATGATGACAAGAACAATAAGTTAATGATGTAATCGAACTAAGAGCTCTGTATTCAGCGCTTAGGCTTGTTTCGCAAAACGTAATAAACCAAGAAAACGCATCAGTGAACCATCTGCTTTTGACATAGACATCAAATACAGATGTACTTAAAATTATAAATCCCGGAAACATTTGAAAAAAACCTCGAAATGAAAAGTGGTATGACCGTTATCGCAACAGCAAACACTGTACGGCCAGTCGGAGACAATTTTAATCATATTAGACATTAGAAAGGCGAAAAATCGTATCACACAAGTTGTGTAGCTTTAGACGACAGGGATACATTTATCGTTCATTCATCATTTTCAAAGTGCTGATCTTTGCAGGTGACTGGCAGCTACTTTAAGAGACATTCATAACGCTTCTTCAAGATAACTGGACCACCTTTTATAGGGTCTTCTTATTTGCCGTCTTCGTTTTAGTTTTACCTGCTATTCAAGAAAGTGCGTCGGGAGAGTCTTAACTGTGGTATTTTCATCACAAAACCAACCCGGACATAACCAACTGCGACTTTCCAACCTGTAAAATAATAGGCTCACAACCAGGGGTATCTCTAACTGTAGTTTCTTTACGCCCTCAGTCCTTGAAAAACACACCATTTTGCTGCTTCTACCCGAATGGCATTTTCTAAGTCAATATCCAACACTGACTAACATGGGCAACGGTAGGGCTTATACAGACCAAAATAAAGCGATGCACTACGACTCAGATATTTTTCATCACCATACACTTGCGTAGCTCTTGCATTACTACACTCGCCAGGTCGATCGGTATGTCCATTTCAACGTCCTGCCTACCATCACTCGTTAATGCTACTGCGAGATGCCTAAATGTAACACCACTTTAACTGCCCTCCGCCAATTAGTACGGTGCAGAGCACAGTGAGGAGCCTTTCTTTAAAAGGGTCGGACTTCGGTTTTGGTCAGGCCGATTCTATCGCCACCTCATCGCTTTTATCAGCAAAACGCGATCGAGGGTTTTTCAGAGGTCATCGTTCGAAGACGGGCGGAAAAGTCTGTACTACGACTACAGACTGCGATGTCTTCCTACTCCGGATATTGTTCATTCTTTTGTCTACAACGACACCTTGCATATTATCTTGTATGGAAGTCCTGCAACCAACTCTAGATTATCAAAGAAAAGTTACAAAGTACTGCGCTGATCGATCCTGCAAAATCGACAAAAATCCAAAAATCAATGACCACAATCAAGAATTCTCTCAAACTTTCTCGATCAATCCTAGGAGACTTTAATCGCCCCTCTGTAGCGAAAATTCTTCAAAGTCTAATCTAATCACTTTGGTACTAAGAGAAGCTTAATTTAATCCCAGAAAACACCTAGCTGTACCTCCACCAGATCTGACTACTTCCATAGTAAAAGCCCCTTGTCGAGTAAGAGAAGCACATTACCATGCAACTGAGGATGGTGCACTATAACGTAAACAGTCTCTGGTCTTTTTTTATTAGTACGCTACTTTCTGCGCAGACTGTTTGTTGGAAAAGTTTCCAGCTGCTGACAGCGACACTGTAGCATAAAAGATTAAACCGGAACTTACGTCATCTCCTGTTGAAACTATCAGAAATTCTTCATTATATCAACAAGTTTACAGCTCATAGCAGCAATGCGCAAAGTCTGGCCTGCCGTGTGCACCTTGGTCAGTAAATGAGCAGCAAACTCATTTTCAAGAAAGTTGTTAAATTAATTTCAGCTTTTTTTCATATGCATTTTAAGCCTATATGCGCCATACCAACTATTAGCTGCAGTAAATTTACGTGTCGATGATGTTACGGCCGCCGCGCTAACTCGAACTTTCATAATCCACAACTCAAAGAAATAAGGATCTGAAGATTCTTGAAGCTAAACACCATTTCTTCTAGAATCGAATTTAAGTAAAACCGTTTCTTCAACTATTTCTCAGGTATTGATGCTAAGACGACTCTGAGTACAAACTCCTCTGATGAAAAACCCACACAGGCTCAGAATTCCAGATATCTGGGATTAAACTTTGACCAGACATTCAATTAATGTAGAAACCTATGCCAGCTAAGCAGTAAATCGAAAAGCTGGCTTCCTCAGCGCATTGTGAAAGTTGGATGGAATCTAACTAGGGATGTGGCGGGTCAACTCACCGGACAACGGCATCGACTCCAATTTACTTAACAGCTGAGTACTGCTCGCCTGCATGAACTCGAACTTTATTACCGACATAATATGCGCCTAACTAAGTGAGCATATAAACGATATCATTATAACTGACAAATGGGCCAGTGTTCTCCAATACCGCGCCACTATCTGTACGGAAAGTGCGCTACACTACGGGAGTATGTAGTGATAATCGATTTCTTTCGGAGATTGTAAAACATGATACGGTCACCTCGTTTCCGATTAAAATCTAGATGGCCATTTCATGATAGTTTCGGACAACTGGGGAAGCGCGGTGTTCATTTAATAAAATCACTGAAGACCGATGACAGTTTCCAGAGGATTAATCTAGATTTACAAGCCAAGATCATATTCTTGGCACATGTACAAATTCAAAAAATCTGCTTTGACTGCCGTGAAACCTAAACCGCAGAGCACGCTGTCGACAAACGCATCATGTGCAAAGGCAAGTAGTCTCAGGAGCAGTCACAGAGTTACGCAGATGCTCTCTGCAGCTACTGCATGGTTGTCAAAACAATCAACGGAAACGTGATAGCTATTCCATACAAAAATTTATTTCGCTCAGTTAAAAATC